ATCCGCTACGAAATTAATGCTCCTAGACGCTTGTTGATCACCACGGATTTGATGTATTCCCCATCGTGAAGGGAATTTAATAACTTGATGCAAAGTCGATGGAACAGCTTCCATCTCACGAATCCATGGTCTACCAAGAATCATGTTATAAGCCATATCCATTTCAACCACTTGAAATTTGGTATCTTTAACTACTCCTTCAGCGAATGTAGTTAGTGTTATCTCGCCTTTTGCTACGACGCTCGAGTTGTCAAAACCGGACAACGTTTGAGCCTTGGGTATCAACTTATCATCAGCTTGCATCTCATTTACCACTCTTAAAAGAATGATATTCACGGAACTGCCTGGATCAATCAAAACTCATTTCACATTAGAGTCATGTACAAGTAAAGATATTACCAGTGCATCATTATGTGGGGTTAATACACCATTCGCGCCCGCATCATCGAATGTTATGTTATCTTCTTCTAAAGCTGTCGAACTCGCTTCCCGTGTGTGACCGTTATTTTTGACACCTTCCTCGTTGTTGTTACACCATTGATCTCTTCTCCTCCACTTACATTAACCATCCTTTTTGGTGAAGGGGGTTTTGGAGGCTCCTGTCTGTTTTTCATATATGCCTGCTTTCCTTTTTCACTAAATAATTCAGTTAAATACTCTTGTTACAATAAATGTTCTACTTCACCTTGCAGCAATCTACAATTCGCCGTTTCGTGACCGTGATCATGGTGAAACTCGCACCAAAAATCAGGATTTCGCCTATTCGGGTTTGATCTCATTTATTTTGGCCAGCGTACCTTGTCGTCCATGCTCCTTAAAACTGCCACCAATTCGGATGTGCTTACATTAAAACTGTAACCGCCGATCTTCGCCTTAGAGCTTCTGTCATCATCACGCGTCTCTCGCGTGTTTCGTTCTTTCCCGAACCTTGATGATGAACCTGACTCCCTATCTCTTGATCTATGATCATACCTTGGGTTTTCCTGCTTTGAACGCGAGTCTCTTCCTGCTGGTCCCATGTAAGGTTCATACCTGTTTTTACCGAACCTTTTTTCAGTTTCAGCTCGCCTTAAACTTACCTTTTCATCCCTTTGAGATTGAATGATAGTATCTTCTTCTATCCGCAGCTTCGTGTTGTATCTGTTATAAACTTCATTCCAAGTTGTAGCTGGAAATTCTCGTAGACTTTCCTTGAGTCTCCTTGTGGCTTCTGAACTCTTTTCATTTAGATTGCTGGCAAATTCCATAGCTTCCCAGTTATCTGGTACACGTGGCAACATCATCCTTTCACGCTGGAACCTGTCTACAAATTCCCTGAGCAGCTCTGTATCTACTTGCTTTATTTTAAAAATGTCCTCCATTCTTTTCTCAACTTTTTGAGCTCCCGAGTGTGCTTTGATGAATGAATCTGCAAGTTCAGCAAAAGAATCTATAGAATTATCGGGTAAAAGAGAATACCATGTTAATGCTCCCTTAGTGAGTATTTCTCCGAATACTTTGACCAAAACTGATTCAATTCCTGCTTGGTCAAGTCGTTGCCTTTTACACTAGTTGTGAATGCAGTTACGTGATCCCGTGGATCAGTTATTCCATCGTATTTTAGAATATCGGGCATCTTAAATTTCTTTGGAATTGGTAAAGGAGCAGTACTTGGCTTCCAAGGTTGTTGTGAGTATTTGACCATATCTATCCCCTAGATTACAGGCGGTACTCCAGGTATTTTCTCTATGCGATCGCTCTGTTCCTTGAGCTGTTTCTGCAAAGTTAGTACTAATTTGTAAATCAAAATTAATTGGGTTACCTGACCCTCCATCACGAGATTCGCTAGGAGTTCTTCTACTGCCCGAGTTAACGAGTCCTGAGCAAGGATTTTCTAAGGTGTTGTTGTTTGGAGTTGATGTTGATGGCACAACTGGTAACTGGTTAGCGAAGGCCTCAAGAGCTTTGCTGACCTGTTGAGCGATTAACTTTTTCAAAGCTTCGTTGATAGCCTCATCATTTTCAAACTGATCATTTGCATTTGATTGAGATCCATCAGGAGTTCCTTCTCGAGATTGTCGAGGAGAATTTCGTGGGGAAGGAACCGGTGTTCCATCACCTTGCTGATTCTCCTTTGACGGTCTCCTTGATTTTTGTCATTGACATTTGACATGATTGATTTGACAAAAAAGTTAATTTATGAAGTAATAGATTATTAGATTCCGGGTAACGGAACCAAATTGTTTAACCAAAAAATAGGAATTTAGGTCAAAGCCTGCTATTAGAAGAACTCAGGTTACTGATAATCAAATAAAAATAAGAATAAATTATATAAACAATAGTTGGATAAAAAGCAAAGTAAATCAGTGTATTTCAATAGTATTTCGTGTCCTTACTAATGTGTATCCCTCTCCTTTTATAGCTACTTCTAAGTAATACGTTTCTTTCCTCCCATAATGGAGTCATTATGGGCAATTAATGACATTTAATGTAACGTTATAATTGTCAATCGTAACTGTTTAGTACAGATTCTGTAATGTTTTCTGTAATTAATGCTCATTAACTTCTAGTAATACGTATCTATACTTTTTTACTATCTAGGTTCATTCCTCTGATGCTTCTTCAAATTATCAAGAGGTTCGAGCACCCATTCCTTCTAGTTTTCTTGAATCTTTACCCGTATCTGTTAAAGCTCGTGCCTCTTCAACTTATTCTTCGCCAACTGTCATTCTTCTATTGACCCACGTGTCATGGCATATCATCACATAACTAACTTAATTTTAGCCGATACAGTCTCCGTGTGACTTTTAAGTCACGGCTTAAATCAATCACTAAAATTTGCATCAGGGTAGATTGTCTACATCACATCCCTTTGGGATGCGGTCTTCCCGGACCTTTCATAAATACGGGATATTTTGTACAGCGAACTGCACTTTTTAGTGTCTCCCTATGGATATATATGACTTCAATAGTAAAGGCCAGTGATAGTCCGAAACTTTTCTAATAATTTTTTGGACAAAAAACACGTTTTTACTACTAAACAAAAAAAGTTACGTAACTACCTAATTCGCAGTACTATACTGCGAATTACGTTAACGAAAATTTAGCCGTTAAAGTAATTCGCAGTATTGTACTCGTATTATTAAAAAATTATTTTTTCTAAACTAATTCGCAGTACAATACTGCGAATTGAGTACACTCTGATTTTGGGCCCAGCTTTATTTTCAGCTTTATTTTATTAAAGCAATTCGCAGTACTATACTGCGTTTAAGTAACTCGCAGTATAGTACTGCGAATTGCTTTAATAAAATAAAGGCCCTTCTTCTTCCCCAAGACAATTCGCAGACTCCTCCCCCATTAAAAAATAATCTGCTCCCCACTGCTGGTCCCTCCTCGTCACATTAAAAAAAAAAATTGGGCCCCACCCGTCACCTAAAAAGCAAAGAGTGTAGGTCCCACACACAAGACAAGCTTTGGATTCATTCTTTCGGGTGCAAAAATTCGATTTCAATCAAATTCAAAAACTTAAATCGAGGTATTTCGATTTTGTTTATGTCGAAACTCGTATAGTACATGCATATTTGTATTGTTTAATATGTTTCCATGTTAATTTGTGTTATGTTTGTATTTAAATTTGTATCTTATTTATACCCGGATTGATTTATTAGCTTTGGGAAAAAAAAATATGATAAATAATTTGTATTGTTAATGTTATGTTTTTATTTGGTTAAATAATAAATAAATATTATTTATTTAGTTTGTTGTTCATATTTGTATGTTATGTTTGTTGTTTTTATATGTAATAGTGACCTTTTAGCGTAGTAAAATAAAGAGCCTTTTAGCGTAGTAAAATATAGAGCCTTTTAGCTTAGTAAAATATAGAGCCTTTTAGCGTAGAGTGCAAAATATAGAGCCTTTTAGCTTAGTAAAATATAGAACCTTAAGTATGTAGTAACTGCAAACTCTATCCAATAACACTTTACAATATTAATTATTCAATTTATAAAAATAAACTTACAAAAGTAACAAATTAATATATGTTGTCAAATAACTCAAATATCGAGCCCGGAACTCATAGATAATTACTCAGTCCAATTCAATAATTAATTATTTAATTTATTAAATTAACAAAATTGTAAAAATGCTGAAATTGACACGCATAATAATTAAGGATAAGTTGGTACTACCGGGGGTCAATTATCGAGCCTGGGAACCCATACATAATTATTAAGTCCAATTCAAGAATATTTAATTTAATTTATTAAACAAACAAATTTCTAAAAAATGTTGAAAATGACACACATAATAATTAAGTATAGCTTGGTACTACCGGGTCTCAAATATCGAGCCTGGAAGCCATTCATAATTATTAAGTCCAATTCAAGAATTTTTAATTTAATTTATTAAACTAACAAATTTCTAAAAAATATTGAAAATGACACACATAATAATTAAGTATAGCTTGGTGCTACCGGGCCTCAAATATCGAGCCTGGAAGCCATTCATAATTATTAAGTCCAATTCAAGAATTTTTAATTTAATTAATTAAACTAACAAATTTCTAAAAAATATTGAAAATGACACACATAATAATTAAGTATAGCTTGGTGCTACCGGGCCTCAAATATCGAGCCTGGAAGCCATTCATAATTATTAAGTCCAATTCAAGAATTTTTAATTTAATTAATTAAACTAACAAATTTCTAAAAAATATTGAAAATAACACACATAATAATTAAGTATAGCTTGGTGCTACCGGGCCTCAAATATCGAGCCTGGAAGGCCATACATAATTATTAAGCCCAATTCAAGAATTTTTAATTTAATTTATTAAACAAACAAATTTCTAAAAAAATGTTGAAAATGACACACATAATAATTAAGGATAGCTTGGTGCTACCAGGCCTTAAATATCGTAGCCTCAGACCCATAGATAATTACTCAGTCCAATATTAAAAATAATTATTTAATTTATTAAACTAACACACACAATTAATTTTGTTTAAATTATAATAGACGACATGGCCTTTCCTCCGACTGCGCATCCTGGACCTGCCGAGGATCAGCTATTAGTGTTGCAGGGCGACCATAGGTCCTCCTATGTATGGGAGGGACAGCTATCGGAGCAGGCTCTCCGCCCCAGGAGACTTGACGATTTGTGGGAGTTCATCGTGGAGCATCCTTTCCATGCCCGCGTAGTCGCGCGCCTACAGGCTACGGGCTTCTATACGATTTTTGAGCTTGGACGGACGCAGCTTGATTGGTCTCTTATCACGGCCTTGGTAGAGCAGTGGCGACCGGAGACGCACACTTTTCACTTGCCCACTGGAGAGGCCACCATCATGCTGGAGGATGTTCAGGTTTTGTACGGGCTGCGCGTAGATGGACGGGCCGTGACACTGCCCCAGTACATTAGATCCATGACGCGTGCACAGTTTTTGGATATGATGGGGCAGTTTACTGGTTATAGACCTCAGGGTGGTGCTGGGGGCAGTCGCGTTCTTTTGTCAGCCATCAGAGATCATATGGCATTTTTGCACCCAGACATTACCGGCGAGACGGAGGATCTCCATATTGAGAGGTACACGCGGTTGGCGCTGCTCCTGCTTTTCGGGTGTGTCTTGTTCCCGAACACTTCGGGGAGTACTGTGAGTATGCGCTTTCTCCATCATCTTCAGCGGCTGGATGATTTACCCCAGTACAGCTGGGGTGCTGCTGTTCTCGCATACCTGTATAGGAGCATGTGCCGGGCGAGCATGGGCCCAGCGGTGGACATATGTGGTTTTCTGCCCCTCCTACAGGTGACAACATTTTCGAATACTCTGTTCATTACTTCGAATTCTATATGGTCGAAATGACTCATAAATTTTACATCAACCTTTTATCTTAGGTTTGGGCCTGGCAGCGGATCATGCCGTTGCAGCCACCTCTACCACCACTTGCGCCCGGTGAGGCTTATATGTTTCTCCCTCTAGCTTCTAGGTGGATTCTCCGGTGTCGGAACTACCGAGGGAGCGATGCTCATCATAATCTCCCACTTGTCAGGGATGTGTTAGATATGCTGGTGGATGGACAGGTTAATATGTACCTACACTTGCTTGTTTTAAATTGAGTTGTGTTGCACATACTCACTTTTATGTTATTATTTGGTAGTTCATCTGGACGCCATACAGCGACGAGTTGCTAGCTCAGCTGCCCGATATTTGCTCAATCGACCGACTGCTTTGGAGCACCTCCGTCCCGATGATCTTCTTCGATATGGTTGAGTATCATGCCACAGAGCGTGTGCTTCGCCAGTTTCATCGTCCCCAGCCTATACCGGGGGAGCCTGGATGGGTGGCTACACACTATCAGCGGGACGACCGTGCCAGGGTGGATGATATATATATGGGATGGCTAGAGCAGCAGGTCCATATTTGGGAGGAGCGAGGTCACCGTATTTCGCCACCACCTACATTTACCCAGGAGGCCACTATTCATCTGTATACGTCATGGTACCGCCTTCACACCCGACTGATGATCGGGAACCCCATTCATGTACTTGGCGATCGCTACAGACCATACGTCGGGAGGCACGAGGCACTGGTATGTTTTTGTGGCTTATTAATATCTTATAATTGTTATATAGCGTTATTTAATTAATATTTTAAATGTTTCACAGGCTATTGGGCATCATCACCTCTACCAGTTGGGACAGGAGATGCAGCAGCATGCCGACAATCCTGCACTCGTTGACTATGGCTGGCGGGTGGCACAAGTGGCTCGTCGGACCCTGTTTCAGGCGAGAGATGCCGCGAGGTTGGAACACGAGGCTCAGTATGCGGCGCCAGAGGACTACCATCGGGGTAGGGGTGTCCCACGAGGCAGGGGTAGGGCACGAGGGAGGGGTGCCCCACGGGGTCGTGGGGGATGGTGAGGAGGTGGTCCCCAACAAGGGGGCTATGAGGCACCTGTTGGCCTACCTGTTGAGGGACATGATGGGGATTTTGGAGATGAGGCTCTTGGAGATGATCAACCGGGTTATGGACCTCAGGTAGATGAGCCATCCAGTAGCATGTCGTCGTACAGCCATCAGCTATCTCTGCCAACATTGCAGGTCACCCCGTCAGGAGCATTGTCGATCACGGGAACATTCGATGGGGATGTAGACCAGTACTTTGCATGCCCATCTATCGTAGCTGAGGATCGGCCCACCCGGGACGTGGATGGCGGGCGCAGGTTGAGTTATGCCTCATCCCCGGCGGTTGAGGCGGATCTACCACAGGCGCAGGTATGTTTGTATTACTTTAAAATTTTAATTTGTTTTCTTTTCCTTAATGAGCTGACATTAATTAATTTTTAACTTTCTTATGAAGGTTTCGTCCCAGCCCATCTTCGAGGCCACTACATGCTTTGATGAGGACACCACGGATACATATACTCAGGCGGCGGATGAGTTTTTTTGACTCAACACGTACAATACAAATATACTTTTTCACATGCTAAGATTACTACTTGTTTTGTAGGTTGCTGACGGCCCGACGGCCTATTCTTCCTATCCTGCCAGTTGTGGTGTCGATGCTGCTGCACATCCTCACATAAAGAGGTGGCTTGATGACGATGATCCAGATAGTGTACCCGGGCGACAGGGGATGCGACTTAGGCCGGCAGCAGCACTGAAGCACACAGGCTGCGGGACTCACTGATTTACTTATGTTTTTACTTTGTGTAAATAGTGCATTATGTAAATAATGGTAACAATTATCTTTTAACAATAATTTTATTTTAATTGCGTTTGAACAGCAATTTTACTTAAACAGTACAACACAAACACAAACCTTGCAAACCTAACACAAAAACAAACAGTAGAACTAAAACCATCACTGCACAGAGGAAACATAAAGAAAGCAGCTTTTTTCACATGGATTTCATCTTTTTTAGAACGACAAGACAACTCCATAAAACGTAGTACTATACTGCGAATTAATTATTAAATTTTATGCAAGAAAGCAGCTTTTTTCACATGGATTTCATCTTTTTCAGAACGACAAGACAATTCCATAAAACGTAGTAATATACTGCAAATTAATTATTAAATTTTTCTGCAAGACAACAGCTTTTTTCACATGGTTTTCATCTTTTTCAGAACGACAAGACAACTCCACAAAACGTAGTACTATACTGCGAATTAATTATTAAATTTTTCTGCAAGACAGCAGCTTTTTTCACATGGTTTTCATCTTTTTCAGAACGACAAGACAACTCCATAAAATACAGTACTATACTGCGAATTAATTATTAAATTTTTCTGCAAGACAGCAGCTTTTTTCACATGGATTTCATCTTTTTCATAACGACAAGACAACTCCATAAAACGTAGTAATATACTGCGAATTAGTTATTAAAATTTTCTGCAAAAAAGCAGCTTTTTTCACATGGTTTTCATCTTTTTCAGAACGACAAGACAACTCCATAAAACGCAATACTATACTGCGAATTAATTATTAAATTTTTCTGCAAGAAAGCAGCTTTTTTCACATGGTTTTCATCTTTTTCAGAACGACAAGACAACTTCATAAAACGTAGTACTATACTGCGAATTAATTATTAAATTTTTCTGCAAGAAAGCAGCTTTTTTTCACATGATTTTCATCTTTTTCAGAACGACAAGACAACTCCGTAAAACGTAGTACTATACTGCGAATTATGTATTTTGTCTCGCCTATAAATAACGGGCTCATTGTAGTTATTTTGTGTGCTCAAAAATTACTAAAAGCAAATATTTCATTAAAAGTAAGGTTTTTTTACTAAAAGCAAATATTTCATATAATGGCTCAACCTCTTCGTCCACCAAAGTGCAACTGTGGAAAAGAATGCTCGATGCAAAATTGTTGGGACGGTGGTGAAGTTGGACGCCGCTACTGGTGCTGTATAAACCAGTTTTACAAGGTTCCCAGCAAACCTATTTGTGATTTTGAGGAATGGGTTGATGAACCATGTTATCAGGAATGCTACAGAGAACAACTGCAGTTTCTTCATAATATGTATTTATGCCAACAGGAAACACAAAGAGAAAACGATAGAATTATTGCAGAAATGAGGGCGAATTTGAAGGAGGTGGGAGAAGAAAAATGGAAAGCACAATGGAATTGTGAAGCACAAAAGGAACATAAAAAAAATATAAACAGGAACTTGCGGAGGTGAATGCGAAACTGAAAGAGGTAGAAGAAGAAAAAGAACAACTGGAAGAACGATTTAAGTGGTTGGAGCGGAGAATAAATGGCAACCGGGACAAAACATTGGCATGTATGTGTTTAGTGTATTTTTCATGTTTCATGTATTTTTATTATGTTGGCCTGCTATGTTTGTGTTAGTGTTGTAGTAATGTTTTCCTTGTTTGTTGTACTAAATTGTTTTTTAATTGAAATGGAAGTTAAGTTTAAGTGCTTGTGTTGTTATATGAAACTATCAAACCACGCTTTACATATTACATTTTCCTGCAATTAAACAGCTTTTTCTTCACTCATTCCAGATTGTGGAACATAATTTTATTTGATATATATTGCAAAATACACAAGTACAAACACGTATTACAAAAAATAATACCAAAACAAAAGACTAGGGGTATCCTTGATAGTTGGGTACATTCGACGAACTTGCACCAGGAGCCGGATTACCACCGCCACGCACACCACCTGAAGGACATTTACGACGGTCGTGTCCTGTTTGCGAGCATATGCCACATTTACGCGCATAAACGGTGTCACCAACATCCATTTGGTTCTGTATACGCGTTCTCTTTTGCACTTGCAGCTTCCGCAAATAGTCCTTGTTACATACCATCTTAAAAGGTTCCGGCGGCCAATAATGCTCAGCACCTAATGGCTGCAACTTCCCACTATACGTGTCTACGTATGCAGCAACACTATATTGCCTATCAATATAGTTTGTTGTCCCATATCCAACTTGTTGAAAACACTTCAACGCATGTGCGCACGGCATGTGGTAGATGGTCCATTTCTCACATGAACATAACCTTCTATTTTCATTCACCGTCTGTAGATTATTCCCACGGTGTCCGCGGATAGCGGTCTTAACTTCAAAAACACCCCGTTCATGATCGTACTGAAGAAATGAATGCCACTGTGCTCGCCTCCTGGACCTTTCAAATCTTCTCATGGGTATTGGCATAAATTGAACACCCCTGTCCATCAATGCCGATGCAGCTGCATGCCTTTCAACAAACCTCTCCGTACTCTGTTTGAATGTCATGCGGACCATGGCATTGACAGGCAGTCCACGGGCAGACTTCAACAAGCCGTTGAATGACTCCGACACGTTTGTAGTGTGGGCTCCCCATCGTCTGCCGCCATCAGCATGCAATGTCCACATGTGAAGCTCATGTCGCACCAACCAAGTATAGGCTCGTGGATCTATCTGCCGGATCGCTTTCATGCGCCTCGTGAATTTGCACTGCTGGTGCTCAGTTGCAGCCATCCATATTAAGTCATGCAAGGCCTTGTCAGGAAATTTCTTCTGGAAATTGGCCTTCAAGTACCTCACACAGTAACGGTAGTATGCATATGGTTCCTGCCATTTAGGCAAGTGACGTACAGAACTTAAAATACCACCATGTCGATCAGATATTAGACAATACCTGAACGTTGTTTGACAACGTGCTGCTTCAAGTGGTTCAAAAAAAGCGTCCACGTCTCTTCGCTTTCGTTGGCACATATGGCAAAAGCTAGTGGAAATATTTGTCCGTTGGCATCAACTGCAACTGCAATCAAAAGCTTAATATCATACTTTCCATAGACATGAGTACCGTCTATGGAAATTACAGGACGACAATGCACAAAACCATCAATTGTTGCTTTAAATGACCAGAACACATAGTTGAAAAAATATTCGGGTCTGTCCGGACTCCGCTCACGCCTCCATTCAACAACAGTGCCGGGGTTTAAGTGTTGCAGTGCGGCCATGTACCTGGGCAGATTTGAAAAAGACTTATCCCAGTCGCCATAAATAAGTTCAAAGGCACGTTTGCGACCGAGATATGCCTTTCTTTTGGTTATAGTACAACCATACTCCTGGTAGACGGCTGTAATACACTCTTTAATCTTGAACCTAATGGACACTTCCAAATATGGAATCAAGACAAGAGAAATCAAGTCCACATCCAAGTTGAAGTGATTTTCATTGAATGTGTCCATTTCACATCTGTGCTCGCTAATAAATTTACCCACTTTCCACAAACCTGATTTCTTCTTGCTGGCACGCAACATCCAGTGACAACCCATAAACCACCTACGGTATACAGCCTTGTATACCTCCGTAGTTGACTCACTTACCGTCATCTCACGGCACTCTCTTATACTGTAGATTTTTACAGCCCTAATTAGGCGAATTGTCTTGGGGAAGAAGAAGGGCCTTTATTTTATTAAAGCAATTCGCAGTACTATACTACGAATTACTTAAACGCAGTATAGTACTGCGAATTGCTTTAATAAAATAAAGCTGAAAATAAAGTTGGGCCCAAAAATCAGAGTGTACTCAATTCGCAGTATTGTACTGCAAATTAGTTAAAAAATATTTTTTTAATAATATGCAGTACAATACTGCGAATTACTGTAACGGCTAAATTTCCGTTAGCGTAAAAACGTATTTTTTGTCCAAAAAACCATTAGAAAAGTTTCGGACTCATACTGTATATGTTCCATTTTGCTATAAGAGGTAAACGTGGACTTTCCTATTCCTGAACCACATTTTTTGATGTAACTAGCTGTAAAGTTACCATACATAGCATCCACCCCCCTTCTCTCTCTCTCTCTCGCTCTCTCTGTCTCTCTAGGTTTTAGTTTCTTTTTTCAGCCTCTCTGAGTTATAATTGGTTGAGCTTTAACCATATAAACGAATAATATCTTCAACAAGCTAAGAAGAAATGGAACAAGGAGCATCTCTCTCTTGAAAACATCAATAAAATTCTTTGTTTTTCTTGTTTTCCAGTTCCAAGAAGAAGTGAACAGTGCTGATTCGCCAATCCAAAGCATATATTATATCGATTTGTAACTTGAGAGGTACTCGATCTAGCACGTTCATACCCGATAATTGGTGCATTTTCATAGGTTTTCTAACTAGATCTGAACTGGGGTTTCTTTATTTTTTAAATTCTTTCCCTCTTTTAGGGTTTCTTTAATTTTACTTAATTAGTATCACATCACTGTTCTAAATTCACAAATATTTAGCATCTCTAAAATCCAGACTTCTCTCTTCTCTCTCTTTTGTGTAGTACCCTAAAACTTCTTATGAAAATAGTTGTTTTTTTTCTTTTCTTTTGTGATGTCGATGACTGTGTAATTAATATCGGAACAATCTTGTGTGAGTCACTCAAGGTATGATATATATAATTGTGTAAAAGTATTACTTATGTAGTGAAAACAGATACAAGTGTGAATTTAGAATGGCTAGAGAGAAGATAAAGATAAAGAAGATAGACAACATAACAGCAAGGCAAGTGACATTTTCAAAGAGGAGAAGAGGGCTATTCAAGAAAGCTGCTGAGCTTTCTGTACTTTGTGATGCTCATGTTGCACTCATCATTTTCTCTGCTACTGGCAAACTCTTTGACTATGCTAGCTCCAGGTATTACCAGTTTCTTTTTTTTTTTTTTTTCCCCCTTGTAACTTTAATACATATTACTATAATAATTCTCTTACTCAAGAACATATTTAATCTGATGATGAAACACTTAAAGACATGTCTGGTTTCTTGTGACAAGAGGAAGCAAAGGGGGCAAAGGCAACTGTAATTTTATGAGATTTTAATTATTCCATCAAGAAAATTACCTCGTTTACCTTTATAGGAGTACTAATTAAGTCTTTGTCCTAAAGAATCGTCAATTATAGAAACCCTAGGAAATTAATGTTTGTCTTGACTCTTGACAAATGTAGCTTTGTTATTTTTGCTTAACTTATAGTAGTAGCTTATTGGAGAGAATCGACAGTGATCATCTGCAATCATGGACTTCCTAACGTGTATTTATTCTTTTTTCTCGCTGTAACGGGGAGATGGATAGTGTACCCCATATTTGAGGGAACACTATTTATCCTCCATTTTGGGGACAAAAATGAGGAGGGTTGGAGCTAAATAACCCCAAAAATTGCCCCCATTATGGGGAATAGGGTAAGGTTGGAGATGGCCTAATGTCCTGACCAGCTTGCGCAAAATTCAACTAGTTTCTGAGTAATTTGCTATCTTCCACTAACATATATATATATTCACCAAAACTTGAATAGAGATGAGAAAATTCGAATATAGATCTATGCGGCTTCTCTAAACAAGCATTCGTATTATTTATTTGCTTACTAATTACTACTGGTGATTTATTTTATCTTTCTCCTTAAATTTGAACATATATAGTGCTATTTTATAATCTACTTAGTTTATAATAACCTTTTATGATATCCCTCCGACATCCAATTTAGTGTATATCCTTTAGTAATAAATTTTGTGTCAGTTGTCCTTCTTTAGTCGAATCTTGGCATACATCAGTCAGTTTATTGGCTAAGATGGACAAGATAGCTCTATTAGTAGTAGTACAAATATGTCTTTTGGAAAATGGGAGGGGCAGACTAAAAGGTATACAATCATTGCTTATTTTCCAATTAGGAGCTAATTATATTAATGCTTTAGAATGCTCCACGACAGTACAATTATGATTATTAGTCCTACAAGTTTTTCCATTTTTATTTTTTTCACTTTGACCACAAATGAAAATGACTAAATGAGTCATGGAATGTTGGATCGTATTTATTTAAATGAATTCTGTGATTAAATCAAATTAATATTGTATTTCAGAACGTGCCCTTATTAAAGTATACAATGGCAAAGCGATACTCCAATATCCATTGAAGTTAACGTCGTTTAAGATATAGAAGTAATTAATATCGAAAGCAATTAGTGGTAATGCATAGTAATAAACTAAACCACGTAATAATCCCACTAATTGGTTGCTAATTTTGAATAGTTACTTTGGTTGTAATTCGACCTCTTTTGCTTGCTAGGTGAACTTATTGAGCATTTACTTAAGGTTCTTAAAATCAGCCTTTTGATGTTTCTTCTTTACCATGCTACATTGTATAATCTTATCCAGCTACAAAATATTGAATTGGTATAATCTTTCTACATACAGACGCTACTATTTGGAATTTAAATTTCATGATTCAAATCGTACAAGGGAAGATCACAATCCACAAAATAATGTCAATGATTTTGGGTTATTATTTATTAAGTGCCATATATATATAAGTATTTTCACTCCATTTGTGTGCAAAATTACCTTTCTCTTTATGCACCTCACCGAAAGAACAACAACAATAGTAACCTTAATTACGGCTATAGGAGAAGCGTACAAAATTGAGCTAACTTCAGCGATTACTTTAGACAAATTTTCATAAAACACTATCTTTTAGTAGTAATTAGCTATCTATAGATACAATTTGCTATATTACGGATTGTAGATACGTTTTCTGTTGTTAGAAGATGTATTTAAGCTACTGTATTCATGAATACAGTAGCAAAAATAGGTGTGAATCGGGGAAGTCCAGCTAATCAATTGTTGTATTCGAGTGTATTCAATTGTACTCATGGCGTGAAACATGGGATTACAGCTGGACAGATTATTGTATTCGACTGTATTCACGGCGTGAAACAGGGGATTACACTGTTTTTAAAACGGAAAGTGAATCAATTAACATAATAGACTCCTAATATGACTAACAGACTCAATTATAACACACAAATTTTGTATTTCCAGTTATAAAAAAGATTCTCAATCGGAAAAAATCCTAAAAACATAGCAATCTTCAAAGAAATTATATTATACATTTGAATACATAAATTATATTAATTAAAAAAATATATGAATACATTAATGGAATACTTCTAGATAGTGAATACAATAAAATATATGGAATACAACTGAGATACACTAAAATACAATAAAAATAAAAAAAGACAATGAATACAACGAAAAACATGGAAATACAGCGAGATATATTGAAATACACTTAAAAAATATAACAGAATCTTCAAGTTGCTCAGCCCCAAACTCTATCGTCTTTGTTCAGGAACAACCCTAATGTCGTCTCGTCGAAAGGGCCGCGATTCTGATTCGAAACTCTCAAAAGCCGATGCAGAAATACAGAGGTCAGTGGATAGAAGACGACTCCTTACCCAATCAAAAGGCAGAGACATAGGCTAGCGAAAGGTAATGAATCTAAGGAAGAGAATAACCACCATAGTGAAGCATCGCCGAATTTTGTAGAATCAACTGGACTTGAACACCTGAAAACCATCCAATATTTGGTCGACTGCCTATTCTATCAAAACCAATCAATGTGGACAGATTACTTAGAGCCCATAACTGTAGAATAATACCACACAGAAAGAGACGTGGAAAAACAAAATATAGAATGAGAGAGAAAAATAATTTAAAGAGTATTTTATGGCTTAAGGGTAGGATGTAACTATAAATAGGTATTTGGCCTATTAAAATCAAAAGATAGCTATGGAATTATAATTTTTTAAAAGGGTATTTATTTAAAATAAATAAGATATCAACCTTTGCTATAGGAGGTAAAAATTCCATTACTTTATAGTTTATAATTCAGAATATGGATTGAACTTTATTGATTAATTGTTTTTTCTGAAGTTAAATTCATTGCTTTATAAATTGAGAGAGATATCTTCTCCAAATTAAAAAGATAAGAACCTTGTCATTCCAGCAAAAGATACATTTGGAAAGAGTATTAGAGAGTTGTCTGCTATGTTTCGCGGATTCTCCGGAAATATATATCGTTGAATGCGTGTCGGATTCTCTAAAAGTGGTGTATTTTTTGGAGGATCCGACACAGGTGCAACAACATTTTAGAAAGTTTGCGCAACATAAATTAAATTATCAGGGGAAATTTTTTGTTTTATGTATATGATGTAATACGATAAGGGGAAAACTTGAGTTCCAGTCATTAATAATTTGGTTGTTCAACATTAGAGAACCAAAAGCTAAGGTTGTCTTTTTAGGCAAATTAGATAGTGTTGAAATGAGATAGACTTGACTGAAAAGAAACGAAATATATACTAGAATTCATATATGAGCTCTCCAACTAATCATATAGTGACGGAATAATATATAGAGATGTGAAAAAAATGGGTAAACACTTGAATTAACTCAATAATTAATCATCTTGTTCATGAATGCAGCATGGAGGATATTCTCGGAAAATATAAGTTGAACTCAACTAGCCTTGACAAAGATGACCAACCTTCCCTTGAGTTACAGGTATTCGTCCTACTTTTACATTTAATAGCTACATCTTCTTATATTCTCTATTTCAATTTATATATGTGACATAGTTTAATTTGACTCGACTAATTAATTAAGTTTAAGAAAAAACAATTTTTTCGTAAAACTTGTAATCTTATACATGTCATCAGATTTAGCTGGCTATAAATGTTTGTGAACCTGGTTTAGAGCTGAATATTAAGCAGTATATAACATCCACAACACCTGCATGTTTTACTAACTCTTTATATGTTGCTTATCATATTGTAGCTAGAGAATAGCCTCAACACGAAATTAAGCAAGGAGTTGGCTGACAAGAATCGTGAGCTGAGGTATATATAGCCTTCAACAATTCTTTCTTTTCCTCCATCAAGATTTAATAACTTATAACGGTGTGCATGCATATTAATAATTAATTGGCGCGCCTCAACTTCGGTATTGATCGATAACTTTATCCATTTTGAGCCTAGATATATTTAAAAAGAGTACCTGATATTTTTTGTCATTGATTAAATTCGAAGTCGTCTCTCGAAACTATACTTGGTCAAGGATGGTTAGTTGAACGTCTTCCATATATAGAAGACTTGAATTTGAGCATGCACTGAATATATACATATCTATTGAGATGACAAAAAGGAGACGGTATATGCACACGTCACCAAGTGAAAATCAGAAAATGGACATATCTATTGAGATGACAAAATACCAAATTAGCTCTTTACAAAAATATACTACTTCGTTTCCTATTACTATAAACTTATGTGTACTTCTGATGAAATTATATATCCAACTCCAACGAGCAAGCACTGAATAAGAGTTTTTCACATCCATGTGTCTAACAGGAAGTGTTGGAATTGATACAAAGAGAAATTTTACTTTGTGACTCACACAACTATGATTAGTTATGTGAGGCTATTAATTATTTGACAAATAGCAATTGAAGATCCCTTCCACTACTACTCCTTTCGTCACTCTCACTACTCCTACATTTCCTCTCTTTTCCTGATTCTCTCTTCTCTAAGATATACTTTATTTCCCACCTTCTATTCTATATTTTCTTTAACTTTTTTCACATACTTTTAATCATAAAGAAAGTTATAAGTAAAGTGTTGAAAATGATTTGGATTTTTAGATTTTGAATCTTCAATTCTCTACAAAGAGAGCCTATAAAGGAAATAGCTAAATGTCTTTTTATATTTTTTCTGAAGGAATATCTGAAATGCTTTAAGAGAAAGTTAAGGAAAACTAATATACAAAAAATGGTGGGAAATGCTAAAAACATTTATAAGAAAACCAGGGAGAACAATAATTTTCTCCTTTCAAAATTTTCTTAAAAAAAGATAAAGTTTTTCTTCATTTTCTTTGAATAGTCTAAGAAGAGAAAAGTAACTTTTTGCTGGCGTTTGGCCATCGATCCCAAATTTATTTTGAAAAATCTTATTTGGGTGAAGTTTGATTTAAAGATGAAAATGTGTTTGAACATATATACGGTTTCAAAACATATTTTCCAACTTATTTTGGAAAAACATGTATATAATTCCCAAGTTTTGGGATTTTGGCCCAAAATCAGCTCAATAGTTGATTTTGGAATTGAGATTTGAGATTTGGGATTTGGCCAAAATAAGGGCAAAATTTATGGCCAAACATGAGTTTTGAAAATAAATCTCAAATTTATTTTGGCAAAACTCATGGCCAAACGGGACCTTTAACTTTTCCACCTTCTGGAACTATGCTTGAGAGGAAAAAATTTAATCCTTTTTCTAAATTAAAAAAGTGAAAGAATATATTTTTCTTATAAAGAATTTGAACTTTTCAAAAATAGCCTAGAAGAAATAAAGTGATAAGTGCAACAAAAGCTAGAAGACAAAATATAGAGATTTCGGGTGAATAGGAAATAAAATATATTTAAGATATAAATTAAAATTCACAATTTATAAACGATAAATATCTTGCGTTTTCAAAAAAAAAAAAAAAGGAAACTCATAGGAGTAATTAGAAATGATGAGAGAATTACGGAAAAAAGGAATGGAATGTAGGAGTGATGGTGGAAAGTGTGGATCTTCAATTGCCATTTGTTCAAAATAAGTGATTTTTTTGGTTGTTTTTACGCATATTAAGAAATTCACCTTTTAATATTAATTAGCAATAAAATTAACCATATTAATCTTTATTATCTCTTCACATAAACGCTTCTGACACATACTCCAACATTAGTTACTCCAAGGGCAATGTAGATTCATTCTTGAAATCTGGAAAAACCACATATTTACACCACAAGAAAAAAACAAAAAAATCACTTATTGGACCGGAGGGAGTAGTTAATAGCCTCACATGACTAATTATACTTGTGAGTCACGAAGTAAAATTTCTCGGTGCAAGAATGTCCTCCGTCCACCTTATGAATAAAATACCTCTACCATAATTTTCCTGGCTCAACATTACCCTTAGTACTAACAGAAAATTCGGAACCCTTAGTACTAACAGAAAACTCTGAAAAAAGAAAATTTAATTAATATCCACGTGTCATTGTCTCCTTGACCTAACTTAAACCCTAAGCAAAATTATAATTAAACCACCCGTAATCCGCGCGGATACTGACTTGCCCCAATTTTAAAACATAACTCTCTCTCACACACACGCACACCTCTGCCTCTTTGCCATTTCATTTTAACGAGAATTTTTTAATATGAGGTGTATGCCTATGATTATTCATGAAGCAAACCCAAAATAGAGCTTTCTATTAGAATTATTTTTCTAGAAGATTGAAGGAAGTGTCATATTCTTCTTTAAGCAAAAGTTTAGATTCTTTTTGTTTATGTGATGGGTATTCTTAATTAATTATATTTTTTATTTGAAATTTCTGGTGGTTTGCTTCATTATTTTTGTCATTCCTCTATGAAATTCTGAGGATTTCCTTTTAATTTTTTTACTGTTTATGTAATGTGTATTTTTATTTTTAATTTATTTTGCTATTTGTTTTATTAATATGTAAGCTTTTCTGCTCTGTTTAATGGGTATTGTGCAATTATCACATTTCGTACACACCGGATTCATGTGATGTACTAATAATAGTCGACAATTTATAAGATAATTTCTTCATTAATATTTATTTTCTTCTTTTGAAATCATTTTTGTTAGCATGAATTCAATAATTTTGATTAGATTTTTGTGCTAAGTCTAGTTAAAAAAGAATTATTATCCATAATTTACATGTGAGATGGGATGTTGTGTTTGTTGCTATTTCCGGCTGATCAGCCGGTGGATTCTGCCCAAGTAGCAACGAGGAGAGGAAGGCAGATTGAGAGGGGGGCGGGTAGGGGTATCAATTGATATTTAAGAACTGACTAAACCACCGAACCATACCATACCGAATCGATTTTTAGGTCTCTTTTAATAAAACTGTAGGTTTTTATATAAATCTATAACCGTACAGATAATTAGAGTATGTTTTTTATTTTAAGAAAATAAATCGAAAAAATATCGAACTGTACCGAATAAATTTACAACGTGAAAAATATATTTATATGTGTTAAAAATAATAATGCATTAAACTTGTTCTTGAGCCTTGGAATTATGAAACAATTACAAATGCATCCTAATTCTCAAACCTATTATGCTACTTCTATTGAAACTAAATTATCTCCAGCATATTCTCTAGCAAGAATTAAGGTATTGTAGCGATTATGTGTAGCAAACTACAGTGTATTGAATATGTTTCCTTTCGTATGAGTTAGATTTTTTTTTTTGAATGTTTAATTTTCTATAGATTTTATTCTTGAATCCCAATTTGGTTAATATCTTTTCACTCGTGTGATTTGTATTTTCTTTGTAGTTGCTTAATTTCTTTTACACTGTTGTAGAATAGTTGATGGATCTATACTCTAGCCATCTTTCATATTTTCTTAATTCATAACTTTTTAAATTGTAAAATAGTTAGAGAGTTTTACTAAGTCCTATAAAAGTATGTTATTGCATTCTACTTCTACTAGTGACATTTACATGACATTTAAAAATTATCAAAAATTAACCGCACCGTACCGATACCGATACCGATGAGAAATCGAAATGATTGAGACGGTTTTGAAAAGTCTAATTTTGGTTATACATAATAGAATAACCGAAAAATTGGTACGGTACATATTTTATAAAATAACCGTCCGAACTGAACCTTTGACACCTCTAGGGGTGGGGGTGGGGGGTGGGGGTTATGTTTTAAAATCGGAGCGGGTCAATATTTGAACGGGTTACATGTGAGTTAAATTATATTTTGGTTTGAAGTTCAAGTTAGGCTCCAGAACCAAAATGTGGTTCTTTTGGACTCAAAATACATAAATAGGTGAAAAAATGAAAAGAAGACATTTTTATGTATAGTGTCACAATAACCGGCGCTATACATTAACGGTAACTATACCATTAATGTATAGCGCCAAGTATTGTGGCACTATACTGAAAAAGCTGGCACGCCCAAGTATAGCGCCAAAATAGGTGGCGCTATATACTTTTTCCTGCCCCCACGTGCTTTCCCCAGCACTCTTTCTTCTATTCTTCATCTTCTACTTCTTTCTCTCTCTCTCTTTCTTCATATCAATATAAATGATTTTATTTATTTTAATTGTGTGAATCTATTTTTTTATTAATTTGTTTAGAGAATAATATTTTTTATAAATTTAAGTATAATGTAATTTATAGTTTTTAGTTTTACCATGAGTGAGTTGATCTATACCAGTATAATATTTATGACTCATTTTTTATTAGAAGTATCAAAAGTTTTCCATATTTTTTTTAATTTTATATTCAATCAAACAAGTTCACGTAAATTGAACTAAAGAGAGTTTTGAGAGAGTTTTGTAGGCATTTGACTAGAAAAGATTTCAAAGTGAAATATAAATCTCCAGGGTCAAAAATCACCATGTCGTATCCATTTGATCCCTATTTTGCCATCACATGAGCCACTTGATTTCCTTTGCCTAGAGAAATGACTGAATTTAATATTGGTGTTACCTTTGTTCAACCATCTTCTTTACTCCTTTGATAATTGGTTGTATTTTTTTATTTTTTTTTGCAACACTTGAATAAATGATTAGCATGAATTCACATTCATGAATTATGATATTGAAATATCCACTATTCAAAGTACCAATGAACTCAAGTTCAAATTATGTTGCTTTTGCCTCGGAACAATTATTTGTTCTAATATCTAGTTGTTGTGAGAAAGCCATCACTAACTTAGCTTCGTGATCTCTGACTATATATATGCCCACTGCTCCTGTTCTTCCATCATTAAAACTACTCCCATATGTGTTCACTTTTATCCAGTTTGCTGGAGGTTTCATCCACTTAGGGTGTGTTTGGTAGGAAGGAAAATATTTTGCTGAAAATGTTTTTCAATTTTTTCATATTTGGTTGACTTAAATGTGTTGAAAAATATTTTCCTAATGAACCCAAAATATTCTCCCTATCAAAAGAAGGGAAAACATTTTCCAAAACTCCTTCTCAACTTTCCCCACCTATTCCCCATCCCCACCAACCCCCACCAACACCACACCCACCCACCCTCCACCCAACC